CTCCTCCATCACTGTCCTTGACAGCTGGTTCGAAGCATTTGTCTCCACCTTGGTCTTGTCTATCCAAAGAGCTTTGGTTCAGATGTCTTGTGGTTTATTCAGATACAAACCTAAGCCATACTGTCCAAGGCTTTCTGCCGGCAACCCTTTAAAACAAGTCATAGTTGATCAGACTTTTTCTAATGATACGCTTATTATGAACTTTAGTATTTAACACACCAGCTTAAGTCTGAGTCTGAGATGTAGCTTTAGGATTTTTTGTTATTTCTCTATGCACTACACGATCCAAACTTGGGCTGAAAGTGCTGGAAAGATTGTGACTGTCACAACCTCTGCTTTTACAGAGATGGTCACATTTGCTGATTATCAATCAAGTGCATTTGATTAGAGACACATGACTAGTCCAATGAGGCTGTTTAACATGTAACCCTCTAAATTCCTATTGAAGCAGTTAGTGTTACTTTTCACAGGACTTCATATCTTGTGTGAAAACCTTTTTACATGACTGCATCAACAGGAAGGATTTATGTCAGTAAAACGAATAACATCAATCCATCTGACAGTGATATTTCAGTGGGTGGTGGGTGCCTGCAATTTTTTAAATATTTATTTGAATTAATATCTACACATCCTTTTAAAAAACACCACTGTTGAAGGTGAAATCATTCTTTCCCTTAGCGTGCAGACAAAAGAAGGCAAGTAAGTATTGGAGAAATAACTAAGACAAAAGATAGGAAATTCCATATAGTGTCAATTGCCTCACCCTCATTCACTGCTTCTATTTGCAGCTTTTTGTTGCAGAGAGTCTGGGAGCAAACTTTGGTTATTTGAATGTGTGTGTATGTGCGTATATAGCAAGGATTTGGAACAAATGTATTACTCCCTGGATATAACTTCCTGTGAAGTGTGAAGAGATAACACCAGACAATATGAATGTACCTCTCATCACCCCCCCACCCCCCCCACCCCGCACAGACACACACACCTACACACACACTGACAAATCACAAATCATCCTTCAAATGCCTCCACACGGGATAATTGAGTTTTCTCTCCCTGCGCTCCGACAGAAACAAACACCCCGTCACCATAAAAGCCCTCCATAAAGCTTTTAACACTTGGTTTTCCCAGCTTATTAACTAAGTCTGTGACAGAGGAAGAAGTACTCTGAGCAACAAAAAAAAGTGGTCAATTTTGTGGGTATAGTGAGCAAATATGTACCAGTGCTGTGTGCGTTTGCATCAGAGGAGAAACAAGTGGAGGAGGAGATGAAGATAACAGAGAGGAGCGTGTTTGTTACAGCAGTCAGTTCGGTTTACGGGGAAATAATGAAGACTGTCGATTTCATAAGAGCTGTGTGACTCACTGTTTTCTATCATTCACACACACACACACACACACACACACACACACACACACACACACACACACACACACACACACACACACAGTCTCATACAAATGTGTACTGTGGGAAATGCCAGAAAGACATCATAAGGACGCTGCTTCCTGACCTCCATTCTACTTAAAGTATTAATACAATTACAGCGTCCAAGACGGAGACGGGATTTGGAATTGTGATGTAAAACTGATCCAAATCGACCTTGACTGTGAAATGGACGGATTAGTGCTGAAGAACATTTTCTTGGCACCTTGAGGAGAGGGTATGTTGTGTTTATACTTGCATGTTTTTGACATTATAAAGAGGAAACACAGATCTGTCAGTAGAGCTGCTTGAGAGGCTGTCTGCTGTCAGTCAGGGCGAGTAATGATGGAGATGAGTCACTGCCACTCTACTCTTGACTCTGACAAGGCTCCACTGCATTCAAAAGTCAAGTAAGACTTCTCCCGAGGAGCATCTCTAACTGGCTGAGAGGATAACAGGAGTCTGTAAGCTCACAGTTCATGTAGTCGTTTAAACTATTTACATTGAATAACAGCATGAAACTTTTCAGGAATGCAACATTTTACATATAAAAACTAAAAGTTCTTATTATGCTGAAATGGAGGACTACTGTCGGCCTGGGGGGGTAATGGCAAAACCCATCGGGTCTTTTTTTAAGGAGTAAAAATGATGTAGTCTTGGACTCCTGCTGCATATGGAGTTAATTAAACCACTCGTATCTATTTTCTACAACCTCTGTCTCTCTTCCACAGCGTGCTTTTGTTCCGTCTTCCTCCCCTCACCCACAACCGGTCGAGGCAGATGGCTGCCCCTCCCTGAGCCTGGTTCTGATGGAGATTTCTTCCTGTTAAAAGGGAGCTTTTCCTTTCCACTGTTGCCAAGTGTTTGCTCACATTTTGCAAATTTTTATGTTCTTCTCTGTGTTATTGTAAGGTATTTACAAACCTTCGCTAGTCTGTGTCAGTGACTGCCATCAGTCTGGGTCTGACCATGACTGTTTAGAGCTATCCTACCACGTGACCTGTGCAAAGTGATCACCCAGAGATTGATGGTGTTGCATCCTCGGTCTCTTGTCTATGTCACCATTCTTTTTTTCTTTTTGCAATACCCTGTCTGGCATAGTGAAATCTACATAAACCTAGATAGTTTTGTAGCTATAATTGAGAGGTGTCACACAGAGGCAATCATAAAACGACTCTTTTATAAAGTGGTGAGCTGAAGGGATGCACTCACTGAACATGTGTGTGTGTAACAGTCCTATTAAAATGTGGCTGTGGAGAATGGGCAGATTGTTATTTGCTGTTTTGTTGAGAATTACTCATCCAAAGAACATGACTGAGTCACTAAAGTCATCTGCCACAGGAAAACAAAGACAGATAAATGAAAACATGTAGAACATCTTGATCAGCTCTCACTTTTTAGCACCCTTGTGTTAGTCTGTTTGAGTTAGGGTAAAAGTTAGAATTAAGTTTAAATTTAGGCTTAGATTTAGGTTAAAGGTTTAGCACTTAGAGCTAATAAACCAGATAATAAACCAACTAATTCAGAACTGAAGAAGGCCCAGTGGTCTTAGAAAACACACTTTTTGAACTAAATAGAAATAATAATGCACTGTATTCGGTGATTGGGGAACACTGAGTGCAGAGGACAGTGTTCACTGATGACTGCTGATTGATGCTCCATGCAGAGCAGAGAGACGTAGGGGTCCCGAGGGTCGCTGAGATGTATTATTATAATTACTGTTTTATTTCTCCGTATGTCACCCACATCCTTTGTTTTGATTAGCGAGAGCAGTACACGCTTCCCAACAACATTTTGTATTAAGTTCTGTATTTGTCTGCAGGCCTATTGATCTATTTGAGCTGGAAAGACTCTCTGTCAGGAGCAAAATCAATTTCAAATTCAGCTTTCAAACAGCAAACACAACAGCAGCGATTAAAAAGTTATTTGCTCTGCAGTGTGTTATCATTGGTCTCTTTGTCTTCACAGGGTTGTGCAAAGGGATTGTAATGTGGCAGGTCTAGCAGCTTGTCCATCCAAAAAGATTGAAATAGGACATAAACTATTATTTTCATGTAATTTGCAATGAACAAAATGTGTCTATTGGGCTGATCAGTCTACTGCTCATGGTACTGATTTGGCCCGAGTCTGTGTTGCAGTATAAATCTTGCCAGTCAGACTGCTTCATGACACATTTTTAGATTTATTTCCTTTCCATCGATAAAACTTTCAGGCATAGAAAAAGAATGTTTTCAGAGGACTCTATGTACTTGTTAAAAACTTAAGTACACTCTTACTGCTTTTGTAAAAAATAAAGATGGCAAGTAGTAGCCAGTAGCGGCTAATCAGAGGCACTTGATAAATTGATTATCAGCAAGTGTGAAAATCTCTAAAAGCAGAAAATGTTGCTCCTTGCTGTACTGGAGCTTCAGGTGCTGTGTAAACAAAATGCCACAATTGTTCAATCAGTGCTAAATTCACCCCAATGTCAGAGAAACAGCAAAAAACCCAAGAGCTACGTCACAGACTCTACAGTACAATTAGAAAAGACTGAACAAGTATGGCCTGTTTGGAGCCTCTTCTCTCTAAAAAGAACTTGGCAGCATGGCTTAAGCTTGGAAAGCTGTATTTAAACAAATTGTAAGACTTCAGTGCTTTGGATAGACCAGACCAAAGTGGGGTGATGATATGGGCTTGTTTTGCAGCCACAGGACTTGGACACTTAGCATTGACTGAGACAACTCTGTATACGCTACCTGTGTGACAGCTCAAGCTTGGCCCAAACTCATGCAACAGGACAATTCAAGCACAGCAGAAAATCTATAACAGATTGGCTAAAAAAGTAAAGGAATCAAGGTGTTTCAATGGCCAGGTCAAAGTGCGGGAGCTCAACCTGCAGCGGTGGGACCTTAAAAGAGCTGTGTATAAATGAAAGCGTGTAAACCTCAATACCTATAAACTTCTTGGAAAGAAGAATGGACCAAAGTTCTTCCACATCAATGGGAGAGACCGATAAAGTCACACAAAATGTATGTCTTCTCTATTCTGTTTTTGACCTATCTATCGATGATATAGATATAGATAGGAACTGAATGGGGATATGGCGAATAACACCGCGTCACGCCAAGTTTAAGCCTATAGCACAAGACACCATCAACTGCAGGATCTACCAAGGAGATGCTTTGTCCCCACTGCTGTTCTGCACAGGCCTGAACCTCACTGACAAGACTGGCTACGGATACCAGCTACAGAATGGAGCCATCATCATCCACCTCCTCTACATGGATGAGATGTAGGAGTGAATGAGACACTGATTCACTGATCCACACCACGAGGATCTACAGCAACAACACTGGAATGTCAGTCGATCTGGGGAAGTGTGGTCGGATGGTAACAAAGAGAGGCAAGGTAGTCAGAACTAAGGGGATTGCACTACCAGAAGGCGATATTGCAGAAATTGAGGACAGCTACAAGTACTTGGGAATCCCACAGCAAATGGGAACCACAAAGACGCCACTAGGAAAGCTGCAACCAACCAAATGAACCTTTGACAAAAAAGCTCTATAGCAGCATTTTTGGGTCACTTTAATGTTACCTTCAAATCACGTTGCTGGCGTGCTCCATGTCCTGCATGGCGCAGCGGTGGGCCTCCTGCAGACGGTGCTGTCGCCTCTGATGCTCCGTCTGCAGCTCCTCCAGCTGCATCCTCAGGTGCTCCCTCTCCTGGCTGAACTGGTGCTGTAGCTGCTGCAGCGACGACTGCGACTGGGACAGCTGCATCTCCAGACTTTGCTTCAACAAGGATATCTGCACAATAATAAGAACAATACATATTGCAGTGATTGTCAGTGAGAAAGTTGAAGAAGCCGCTGCCTCTAGACCTCTGCATACATAATTAGTTGGATAGAAATCAGGTAGGTGGTCCAGGAAGTGCAAGTTCAGGCTGTCTCAAGGGAACTGCATTTTTACATGGCAGAATAACAAAAGGTAGAAGGTTGGGGTTGGCAATCAATTTGCCTTAAACAAATATATACGCTCAAGACCTCCAGCAAAAGAGCTTTTTGCTGTGAACATAGCACTAAAAGCAGGCAGCAGTGTGACTCACAAAATTAACCTGTCTAGACAGCTTAGGATTTTGAATTCAAGTGTTGAGATAAGTACGACCTTGCAAAAGCTGCTCTGGCAGCACTGTATGCAACTGCTGCCAGGTCAAAAAACACATTCTAATCAGAAATCCCGATGAAGAAGATCGACAGTAAACTTTAGGGGCATCAAACTCATTTAAGGTCACGGGCCCATAAGTTACTTACTACACAATTTAATGTCAAGTAGGCTGAGCCAATAAAATCACTTAAAATAACCCAGTTCTTAAAACAGAAGCAACCATCCATTCACAAAGCAGATGTTTGGAATGTGATCAGAAAATCTTTTAGAAAGGCTTTATAAATTCAAAAATGCTGATTTTAATTTAGCCAGTCTCACCCTTAAGATCGTCTTCTTATGCACTCACAGACAGCTTGTAGTGGGTCTGCGGTTTCTATATTACTCCCTGAAAGTTGTGCTCTGATGGTGTGCTTCTTGCACACACACAACTTCTCTTCCTCTTCTTGACCTAATTTCATGTAGGGGGTCATTGTTGAATTTCTATTATTGTAGCTTTGGTGATAGTGAAATGAAAATCAGTTAAGACTTCTGACTTTCATGGACTCATTCTCAGAATATTGTGATCACACCCCTACACCTCTTTACACAAGTTTCAGGGTAAAGATCTCACAGACAAACAGGAGCATTTGTACCCTGAATGTGCAACTCCGCTCTATGGACTGTGAAAGCTGAACGAATTATCCGGCTTTGAGCTTTTAATTAAAAATACAACAATACTGTCAAACATAATCGGAGAAAGTTGTTGATAAATCCATCATCTTGTGCAGCCACTTGCAGATCATCGTTTCTGAGATAGTAAACACAACAGGAAAGACTCTCTGTGATCTAAATAGAGTAGCTTTGCCGCAGGAACTGCTTCACTAATTTGGAAATTACATTATCACTCAGACATGAGTCACACATTTTTTTGCATGGTGGCAAATCTTTATTAGCAGGCACATATGATTATATATGCTGCACACTGATCCTGTATTATCTAAAATTGACTTGCTCATATAGCTTGCAAATTGTGGACTTAGTGGGGAGGGTTTTTGTATAATAGGTGAAAACTTGCATAATGTATTAAACAGTTTCCACATTCCCTACATTTATACACATTGGCATCCTTGTTTCAAACATTGATATCCACTAAGGTTAAAACAGGGGCCTGATTTACTAAACTGAGAGTGGAAAGTCTTTTGTTTTATCTACTAAGAGTAAAAGGTTTTGTGTTTGTTGCTGCAATTTTGAATAGTTGAATTATCACCTGGTGATTATGTAACCAACATGAAATGCCACTTTTATAATGACAGCCATCACTTTAGGGACATTTTGCACGTCATGTCAGGCATTTTAAGCTTTCTGTGCCTCGTTTCACTGTGTTTTGTGCCAGCTGTAAAAAAGAAGGTCATCACAAATTGCCAACAGTGAGAGTAAATCCTGGACTGATGGCAGTGATTTTGCATGTCTTGCAATTATAAAGTCAGCAGTGCCGACCTCTCTAAGTAGTAACTTTTTGGGGTTTTTGGGTTTCTCCCATAAATCATGTAAAGCTAGAACCATACACTAGAAAACAAAGACAAATTTAATTTATTTAGCTCATTTCATTATATGAAAACTAAATCTGCTTAATACAAAATATTAGACATGAACCCTCCCCCCCAAAATAAAGTTTACAATGCCTTAAGGGAGTGAAAACTGCAAAACAGAACAAACAACAACACAAAAAATATTAAGTGTAGGCCTTTGTGAATAGAAGGGTTTGGAGTCTGTTTGACACACAGATTTAGTTGATCTCAATTTAATCAACATTTTATATTGCGCTGAGAGCCATTGAAGTATTTCATTACTGGGGTAATGCAGGTAAATTGCGGGTAAAACAGTGACCTATAAGGATTCTGGCTGCTGCATTTTGGACAAGCTGAAGATGCCGATGATGTTGATCATTTGGGAAATCCTGCAAATAGAGCGTTGCAATAATATAACCTACTTGATTTGAATGCATGAACGAATTTCTCAGAGTCAGTTTTAGAGAAGATTTTTCTAATCTTAGATACATTTTAAGTTGTAGAAAGCAGTTCTGGTAATTATAATGATGTGGTTATCAAAACTGAGGTCACTTTTTAAAATGAACCAAGGTTTGTGACTTGATCACTGTGTTTTAGAGAAATGGATGATAATATGAACACATTTTGGACTACAAGTATTTCTGTCCTGTCTCTGTTCAGTTCTAAAAGTTTGAGACATTCAGGACTTCAAGTCATCAATGCAGCTTATTGGTTTATGACCAGAGGTTAGATCATAAGAGGGAAGTGGTAAGTACAACTGCGTGTCATTGCTATAAGAATATGAGGCTATATTATGACAGTACCAAGTGGGAGCACGTAAAAGTTGAACAGTAATGGACCAAGGACTGACCTTGAGGACCCCCAATTGAATTTGCATTTGAATGGATCTAAACTGCTAATGAAACATAAAAAACTTCGACCCTTTAGATACGATTAGAAGCATAATGTGTCTGACTGTTAACCTACTGAGTCATGAAGCCTTTATTAGATTATGATATGGTACAATTATTAATTACTAATAGATTTAAGTTAGTTTTTGGGTGACAGTGTGATTACAGCACATTTAAAAGAAACAGGGAAAATGCCAAACTGGAGAGAGCTGTTGATAAAATTTACTAAAAGATTTCTAAAACAGTGAAATACAGATTTGACAACTACATATATTAATTTTGTATCATTTTCTATAGCTGGCATTTTGAGAAATTTCTTGCTCACATTGTCAGATAGACACATATAATGGAGTTGGGCTTAAAAACCACACTGATTAAGCTTTTGCATGAGTTCAATAAGGAAGATCTGTTTTCACTCATCTGCTCGCTTCTAGTCTGCTGTTATTATGTCTTTACTGTATCAAAGTTTCAGACGTGTAGCCTGTATTATTTAATGGTAAATGGATGATTCTATATTTTCTACTCTCCCAGAGTATTCAAAGAGCTCTACACAACATGGCACATTCACCCATTCACTGTTTCTATGCTTTTAAGTGCTTTCTAACTACCATTCACCTCATACTCCGATGGATGCATTGGAGAGCAACTTGGGTTAATATCTTATCAAGGATATTTGGCATGCAGACTAGTGGGAGCCAGGGATCGAACCACCAACAGATGACCTGCTTTACCTCCTGAGGTACAGTCATACAGCATGAGCTATAGTGTATATGATAATATTAGACATAATATTATAACATTCCCCTCAATATTATCTTACTTTGGTGCATTTTATTTGCCAAAAATGAAACAAAAAAAAAACAGTGAACATAAGTCAAAGATGAAATTCACATGCAGCCAAATTCTTCTTCTTGTTAATCCTGAAGTTGATAATCATGAGTGAAAATCTGATATTGTGACAGTGATGTGTGGATGCCACTGACCCTTTTTAATTTGGTTTTTCACTGAGATTCAAAGCGGAGGTTTTCAAGCTTTACCCAACTCTGCGTTTGAGTGCAAAATTACCCGCATATATCATCACATTAGGCATTATTACAACGACACTAATATTTTCAATGCTTGTGCCTTTTGAAAACACACTTTGGAGCATGCTGTGCATCAAGGCCTTAC